CTTGCCCAGGAGGATGTTGTGAGGGACGGTGTCAAAAGCCTTGGTGAAGTCGAGATAGATGACACCTACCGCTCTCCCCTTATCTACCCAGCTGGTCATTCCATGATAGAAGGCTATCAGGTTAGTCAAGCAAGATTTCCCCTTGGTGAATCCATGCTGACTACTCTTGAGCACCTTCTTGTCCTCCGCATGCTTAGAGACACAGCCAGGATGAGTTATTTCATGACTTCTCTGGGGATGGAGGTGAGGCTGACTGGCCTGTAGTTTCTTGCATCCTCCTTCTGGCCATTTTTGAAGACTGGAGTGACATTGGCTTTCTTCCAGTCTTCTCCCCTGTTCTCCAGGACCTTTTGAAGATGATGGAGGGCGGATGAGCAGTGCCATCCACCAGCTCGCGCAGCGCTCTTGGGTGCATCCCATCAGGACCCATGGATTTGTGGGTATCAAGTTTTCCTAGGTGCTCTCTAACCCAGTTTTCCTCTATCCAGGGCAAGTCTTCCTCTCTCCAGGCTTCTGCTCCTGACCCTAGGGCTGCCCTTGGTAAATACTGAAGCAAAGGCGGCATTCAGCAACTCCTGTTTTTCTGTGTCTTTCGTAACCAGGGCACCCACCCCATTCACCAGCAGATCTGTGTTTTCCCTGATCTTCCTTTTGCCATTGATATATTTGAAGCAGCTGCTCTTGTTATTTTTAACATCCCTTGCCAGATTTAATTCCAAATGCACTTTAACCTTCCTTGTAGCATCCCTGCATTCCCTGACAGTATTCCTATACTCCTCCCAAGGAGCTTGTCCTTTTTTTTGCATTCTGTATTCAGCCGCCTTCTGTTGCAGTCTTACCAGCAGCTCCTTGCTCATCCGTGCAGGACTCCTGCCCCCTCTGTCTGATTCTTAGTTATCGGGATGCGCTGATCTTGAGCTTGGAAGAAGTGCTGCTTGAATACTGACCAGCTATCTTGGGCCCCCTTCCTTCCAGAGCCCTAACCCATGGGATTCTTCTGAGGAGGTCTCTGAAGAGGACAAAGTTGGCCCTTCTGAAGTCCATGGTCGCAAGGCTCCTTACAGCCCTGCCTCCTCCTCGTTGGATCCTGAACTCCGCCAAGTCACGATCGCTGCCAGCCAAGGCTACCCCCTGCCTTCACATCCCCAACAAGTCCCTCTTTATCTGTTAGTACCACTTCCAGTAGCCCACCTCTTCTCATTGTCTCCTCCACAACCTGTGTCAAAAAGTTACCGTCAGTGCTCTGCAGGAACCTCCAGGACTGCTTGTGCCTGGCTGCATTGTCTTTCCAACTGATATCAGGCTGGTTGAAGTCCCCCAGGAGAACCAGGGCCTGTGACCATGAGGCTACTTCTAGCTGTCTGTAGAAGGCCTCATCAACTTCCTCACCTTCATCAGGTGGCCTGTAGCAAACACCTACCACAGTGTCTCCCCTCTTAGCCTGCCCTCTAATCCTTCCCCACAAGCTCTCAAAGGGCTCATCACGCACCCCCAGGTTGAGCTCCATGCATTCCAGATGCTCTCTCACATACAGAGCAACTCCACCATCTCACCTTCCCAGCCTAAACTCCTAAACTCCACCAGCCCACCTTCCTAAAGAACACATAGGCTTCCATGGCAGCGCTCCAGTTGTGTGAGCTACCCCACCACGTCTCTGTAATTGCCATGAGATGAATCAACACACTTCAAATGCAGTGTGTTGTTGCTGCAGCCTCCCGTGGGGCCGAGGAGCTTCTGGCTAGGAGGACAGGAAGTATTGGAGACGCAGAAGGATATGGGAGCTACTTGGCTCTGATGGCTCCCAAGTCTTCAGCCTAGTGGGAGTTTGGGTTTAGGGCAAGCGCGTGCCTTGTCCGTCAGGCTGCTTTCAAAGAATCAAGGCTGCTTTCCTGGCAGACATGAGACTGAAGTGAGCAGCTACCAGCAAGAAGGGTTTAGCAGGGGGGTGGATTAGATGATCTCCAGAGGTCCCTTCAAACTTCCAACCCTTCTGGGCTTCCAGGAAGGGAGGATTTGGAGGCTGCTGCTGGACCTGGGTGGCTAAGGGCCAAGATAAGGACAAAGATAAACCTGCAAACTGTGTTTTAGAAGGTGGTTATAAAAAGTGTCATAGCAATAGATCCAAATTAATTTTACCTGGTCTCTGGAAATGCTCTTTCTTCTGTAACACAATGGCTAGATCAAACTCATTGAGAGGATTAGAGTTTGGGTTTGTTTGCTTTCCAGACAGATAACACTAGAGCTTAATTTTTGTTTCAGCACCCTGCCAGGCATCATTTTCTGCGTATATGTTTTTTTTTCAAACTTTTAAAAACTTTCTTTAAAAGCTAATGTTAAAATCACAGAGAGATTGTAAAGGAGTTCAGCATTTTTCAGCTAGGTTTTATTCCGGCTTCACGACCTCTTTTTCCAGAATCAGAAAGTGATGTCCGAGACATTAACCTGAAGACCTCCGAGCTCACCAAATGTGAATGGTGCAGTGTCCGAAAATTACCAGTGGTTTTTCTACAAACGGTACCGTCAACCTGCAGCAGCCTCAGGGAGCAGCTGAAGATGAGTAAAGATAATGTGTGGTATGAATGTAAAGGAGACAGTAAGTAGATCCATTTTAGTCTATTATTTTATCTTAAATAGTTTTCTAATATTTGGGCCATGACTGAGTATCCTAAAGAATGAAACTGGTATCACTGGCTGAGCAAGTATGGGATTTTCATAGGCAGTATCACTTCTTTTGTGGGCTGGTAGTACATTTCAGAACAGCTTGGGAAAAAGTTTTCTACTTTTCCAAATCTATGTTAGTTATAGTATTTAATGAGTTTAGTACCATCGTTTCAGAAGTTACTGTGCTGAAAGAAAACAATTTGTTTGTTTTGCTTTTGTATTTATGGGCCTCACTTGTCCTGACAGCTTTGGTATCTTACCTTTGCTTTCGAGGTTTTTCTGCTTACAAGCTTCAGTTTGAGTAGAAACTCGGTGTATTTTTTTCCGTATGCACGCAGTGATGTGATATAGGCAAATACCTAGTGGAAAATAAGTATATTTTACATATCAAAAGATACATATATTTTTATTCTAACATCAGTGTAATTTTATTATGAGACAAAGTGCATTGTATATTTTAATTCGCATAGTGCTTTTTCCTTAAATAGACTTCTTCAGGTGAAATTTGGTGGTTATTTATGCTTGTACTCAGCATACATAAATCTTAGTAATGGCCTGAAAAGGAGGAAGAATGCTTTTGGCAGTCTCAGAATTGTGCAATTCCAAAGCAAAATAATGTGGTGATAACCCTCTCCAGCATCCCCGAAAAGCCCTGGGCTGTAGGGATTACTGCAATTACAAAAGTAAGAGGTGGGGTGAATAGGAGCAGTGCTGAGGCCAGTAGGGATTAGGGGATTAGACCCCAGGACTCCTCTTTCACAGGTGAACAAAGGGAAAATTCCTAACTTGTCTGGAGAGGAAATCCTTCCTTTTCCACATTCCCTCCTGCCCTCCCTCTTTGACCGCCCAAAATTACAGTTCCAAACTAGTTTGCTTAACTGCTTCATTCCATGAATACCTTGTGGTAACACATTGGCCCTGTGTTTTCCAAGCAGAAGAAGGTGTGAATCCATAGCTGTGTAGCAGTAATTTACAGGTGCCCAGCTCCCAGGAGGGAATTCACAAAACCCAGGTAGACGCCTGAAGCCTGTGCACGTGCGGTGAACGGGGAGGATTCACAACGGTTAGCGTGCCGAGTTACCAGTGACCAACAAGAAATGATTATGTGTGTGTGAATTTTTTTCTTCTCCTGCAGCTTTGAATTAGCTGCCACGATACTGGTATTTGCAGGCTGAATCTTATTCCGTAGTGCTTAGATTATTCTTGGGGCTTTTCCCTTTTTAAGATGATGAGTGTTTATATGGTGGCCAGTCAATCCAATTCACATTCTGCAACTTCTGGTAAAGTTGTAGGCTGAACTGTTGAATATAAGTTACTGTACCAGAAGAAATACAAGATATATTAGGGGTAGCAGGAGTAGGCATGAGAGAGCGAGGGGCAGCATTTTGTTCTCTAGAGCTCACCATAAGAGGAGAGGTCCAGGGCTGACAGTGTTGCACGTGGAAAGCCAGGCCCAGAGATCTGGGTTTCTTTCTTGAAGGTGGTGAAATGCCTTCACATGTAAAAGGAGGCAAAGGTTGTGATGAATGGACATTTTAAATCTCTTTCCTTGCACTCTTTAAAACTGGTTTGTTGAGCCAAGAAATGGAAATGTTGTAGGATTTCATGGCAGCACAAATTTGTTCAAAGAAAAATCTTTCTTCTGTGTAATTGCCATTACTGTTTTTGTAGTTACTATTTACTCAACAACGTGTATCTAGCATCAGTAAGAATAGTTCTGTTAGAACTCCAAGCTTTGAATGTGTGCTATGTAGTTCAGTATCCACTCTTTAAGAATAAACCTTACTTATTTTACTACTTGAATGCAGAAAGAGCCATCTCCAATGCCCTTTTCAGTTTACTTTCTAAGCAGCAGTTAAGGTTTTGTTAAGCTGCCAGTTAAGGTAGCAGTTAAGCTACGTGGTAGCTGCCACAAGTTAAATTGATTTTTTTCCACCTGTCCCTGATGTTGAGAATATCTGTCACTGTCTGGAAGAGTCGCTCTGTTGTTACTGGGGCTCTATCATTATAAGAGTTATTCTTGGGGCTTCATTTAGTCCAAAGGGTGAGTTTATTTTCTGTATTGTTTTTGATTTGTATAACTCTCAAAAAGCAGTATTTTTTTTTGTACTCTGGCCTTCCAAGCAGAATATAGACCATGAGTGAGGCTGAATCATGGCATCTCACAAGCTGTTTCTTACTCAATTCAGTGTGTGTTGTCTTGATCCTTGGATCTCTCTCTCTCTCTTTTTTTTTTTTTTTTTTTTTTCTTTCTTCACTCTTCTTCCTTATCTCTTTGAAAGTCGGAGAATACTAGGCTGGACATAAACTAAATAAATGGAACACTGGTGTTGAGGGGGGCTATATACGTTGAAAGATATTTAATAATAAAAAAATCTGCTGTGAAACCAGAGATATGCTTCATTGCATTTCATTTCATTGCTACTTCTGTGTTTCTTGTCTTTTGCTGGCTGTTTTTCTAGTAGACTAGGAATCACTAAAATTATCTTCACATTTAATGCTGTTCTCCTTTTTTGGTGTATTTACACAGATGAATGTGTCTTCACTGTTGGTTTTTTTGTTTTGTTTTTTTTTAACATGAAACTGCTGTAGCGTTGACCTGGGAGGAGAAGTTAGGGCATGGTATTTCCCTGTGTTGAGAGGAAACTATGCTGAGGGCACGATCTTTGCAAGTGTATTAAAGCAAGAATGTAGGAACTGTAATAAGAAAAAGGGAAGGTGCTGATTAGGGACTGACCCTCCAGATGCTTCTCTGACCTCGCAGTCAGTGCATCTTTTAAAATGTATTAGATGTAATATTGTATAATTTTAAATTAAGGCAGAAATTGACGGAACTTTTTTGCAACTTTATGTAGAAGGGCTTGGTATTTAACTCTTCAACCTGTAAATTGCAAGTGTGTGAGTGGGTGCTAGTGTTCTGTGCATTGCCAGTAACGTGTGCACGTATGTTGGCCTAAGGTTCTTTGAAATCTGTAGTTTCATAGTTGAGCCACATTTTACTTTGTCTCTAACTGGATAATTTTCTGTCTCCTTTTACTTAGGTCAAGAAGAGCAGTATATCATTCTGATTTTTGAAACTGGCCTCGATCCTCATGCAAACTCGATCTTTGAGAAAATTATTACTGACATTGGTATTAGAAATAATATTTCTGACTTCTTTGTGAAAATTTCCTTTGAAGAAGCCAATGGCAGACTGGTTGCATTTACAAAGTGCTTGGAAGACAATTCCAAAGGAAGCCCCTCTCATAGAGAAAACAAAATAAAAAATGTAATTATGTTTTTGTTTTAAAGCAAAGTCATTATTTTATTTGGATTATAAATACCACTGCAGATAGTGTGTGTGTTCACTTAAAGGAAAAAGAAAAAAGAAATCCTCTACTGCTCTTCTGGATTTTATGTAAGGTTGCCAGAATGGGCACACAGCAGGTAGCAGGGTTCTGGGAAGTAATCTCTGGATTTGCAGCATCTTCATAGTGTGTTTAATTTAAGGATGTATAGTCATCTGCAAGTAATATTATGATTCAAAAAGAAGAATGGAATGAGAAAGTTGTAATGTAATTAGAGAACATAGTTAATTTCAAATTTCATCTACTGGTAAAACTGTAATATTTCAAGAGAAATTAAGTTGCTATTTTAGTTGATTGCAGTTAGTATTTTCCTTAAGCAAAACTATCTCTTAAAGAATTCAAGAGTTTTGAGGTTCTGATAGAAGTACAGACATAACTGTAATAAATTTAAGAAAGAAAAAACTTGAAGCATTTCTCAAATCATGGGATTTTCCACCTCTGAACTTCACAAAGCTGTTAATTTTTTTAATAAACTTGAACGTAGTATGCACATTAATGATGAGATTATGTTTTTAAGGTTGCTTCTGAGCCCAAAATGCAGCAACGGAATAAACAACTACCATATTTTGATGATGATGAAGAAATTGGAGAACCACATACAGTATTTATTGGCCCCATAGAAAAGTATGATGCTCTTCTTTGCCCTGTAGCAATTGGAGGGTGCGGGGGTGCTTGGCATTTATTACTGAGTGCTTTTTTCTTTTCAGATTAATCGTTTACCCACCACCTCCTGCTAAAGGTGGTATTTCTGTGACCAATGAAGACCTCCATTGCCTGAATGAAGGAGAATTTTTAAATGATGTTATTATTGATTTTTATTTAAAGTAAGTTTTATTGAGCTCATCTTTTTTTTGTTCTCTCCTGTGGATCTTGAAAATTTATTGTATTAAAACTTTATAAGTCAGTTGATAACACTTTATCTTCCAACTATGCATGGTATTTTTGCAAGAAATTTTGGTGCCTGCTCTATCCTGCTTGTCAGAGACATGGTTCTTACTTGGAGGAAAACGGTTCTTGAAAACTTCTTCACATCTGAAGATGACTTTGAACTAGAGAAGAAAAAAAGTCTTTTTTTTCTTCACGTTCAGTTGATTTATCCAGGATCTTTGTATTCCCCACAGTTTTGTTTTCTTAGCATAATCTGTAAATTAAACTTTTAATGTCTCTGATTCTCCAAATACAAGAAGCATATTAAGCCATGGCATAACTACTGGTGGTGTGTGTTTGTATGTATATATGTAATTTTCAGTATATAAAAATAAATTTTACAGATGAAAAAACACATCATCATGTTGCTTGAGCAAAATATTTTATATCTTCAATTATTGGAACAGATATCGCATTAATACTTATTAATGAGATCTCTGCAGTTAGTTAGTTAGTCCTGGTATTGTTGTAGCTATTTCATTTTCAGGCTATCTAAATAATCTAATGGTTAGATACCACTGTGAGGCCGGGGGATTCTTTTACTCGTGATTTGGGCAATTAATGCTTTTGAGTTAACACATATTTTTTCAATAAGCTGTTTTTAACCTGTTTCTAGTTTTCGATTTTATTATTATTATTATTTTTTTTTTACCAATTAGGTATTTGGTACTTGAAAAACTGAAAAAAGAAGATGCTGATAGAATACATGTGTTCAGTTCATTCTTCTATAAACGCCTTAATCAGAGAGAGAGAAGAAATGTTCATGAAACCTCAAACCTTTCGTAAGTCTGTTGCTAAGACCAGATTGTCAAAAGCAAAGTATAATGAAGGCTGCTAGAACAGATGCTCACAGAAATAAAGTACTTGGAAACAGCTTAATGGGTCTAGCAAAACTATAGGAAACATTCAGACTTAAATTTGCACAGTATATGCTCAGGAAATCTTCAGAAATTTCTAATGTGAAGCATCTGGAAATATTTTAAATGAAAATAAGCCACTCTGCAAATCATGTTTGGCTTTCTTCTTGCAGAATACAACAAAAACGACATGGGCGAGTGAAAACGTGGACGCGTCATGTTGACATTTTTGAGAAAGATTTTATTTTTGTCCCCCTTAATGAAGCGTAAGTAAATGTACCCTTTCATCATGTGCAAAGGCTTGGGCTTCATGGTTCTAAAATTGAAAGATATGTTGTACCATTACTTTTAATTTAAAATCAAAAGAATCAGAATCTTTTTCGCTGATAAAGTTTGCACTTTTCTACTTTGTTTTTAAGGATGTTGTTATAGTTCAAGAAATGTTAGGCAATATGAAGATTGAGCAAATTCTAGAAATTCCTGTCTTGGACTTGCTGTACTTTAATATCTACTTACAGAGAGCCTTTTCAGACTCTCCCATAACTACTAATTCGGGTAATGTGGGCTAAACAGCCAGAAGGCAGTCCAGCTGCAGTAAGTGAAGGGGGAGACAGGACTCGTGTACAGAAGAATTAACTCTAAAAGCAAATGGATGGTTTGACCATGACTCTGCCAGTGTCCTGTGGGCATATAGTTCTTTGTGTTCTCAAATGGGATAGCTTGTAACATTTAAAAGAGCAAGTTGTTTACCTTTCAGATAAGGGTTAATTTGCTGGTCTGTTTATATAGCTGGTAATAAAACATATGTTAATTGGAATCCCCATAACCCAAATTCTAGGATTTGGCAACACTTAATGTAATGTTCAGTTCTGTGGTAAATCAGTCAAGACAAAAGGTTATTTTGAAAAGCCCCTTAGTCTGAACAGCCATTGACTTTTGATGGACCTGAGGCTTTTTAATCATCTACTTAATGTTTTTAAAATATCAGACTCCTTATTTTTAGCTACTACTTTTTCTTTTTTTCAAAAACATTTTGAAATGTGGCTTTGTTTGCATAATACATAGCTAGACTTTGTTTTGCCAGTTGCTACCCTAAATTGCAGAAACCTCAAATATTCTCTAAATCAGGTTAGTCTTATATCCATGCAAAATGTCTCAGTCTCTGAGTTGCGTTTCTCATTGATTGGAGACTCAGTAAGTGAAATCTATAGTGGCAAGAAGATAGGAAAACAATGGGTCAAAATTTCTTTTGTGACCCGTTCTGGGATAGAGGGGATATTGCTATTTTTGGCCCTGAAAGGGTTAGAATATCCCTTTTGTTTTCTTGTGGTTCTTTTAAGGGTGAGCCGTGGTATTACCTGCCCCACGGTGTGATAGCGCTCGTCCCTCTGCATGTTTCAAGTATGCACAGTTGGAAAACCTACTAGAATAAGGGCAATTCAGCTGTATTGTTAGGTCTGGCTACTTGTTTTACTAGATAGGAACTTCTAGAAAAATGTCCATAGCCATAAAACATGAAAGCTACAATCCAATTCATGCAGTAATGAATAATATTTTCCAAAGGAATGCTTAATTCAAAGGATTCATGTGTGAACTATGAGCAAATTGAAATATTTAGACGTCTCTTTTCAGTTAACTGTATCATGTGAGTGAAAAGCAAGCAACTGTCACAATCCATCTTTGATAACTATGGAGGGTAGCGTTTAGTTTTGTGTCTTTGTTTTATTTTGTTGTTTATTTTAAACAGTTACTAGTTACTTATTCATATATTTTTCCTTTGCAGTGCCCACTGGTTTTTGGCTGTCATCTGTTTTCCTGGTTTAGAAAAACCTAAATATGAACCAAATCCTCACTATCATGAAAATGCTGCAACACAGATAAAATCTTCCTCTTCAGATGGAGAGCGCAACACTCCATCTCCTTTGCCAAATGAGTTTGAATTACAAAACTCGCCTTCCAAGTCCACGACGAAGAAGATATTGACCAAAAAATATAACACAGCTTTAATTGACCCAAACACTGAAGCAGAGGACAGTGAGTCTTCGTGTTGTAGGAGAAGTCCCTGTAGGGGAAAAAGTGGCTTCAAGAAACTAAATCAAATAGACAGTGATGTGGAAGAACCTAACACTGTGCAGTCAGCATGCCATAAACTTGACCATAGGGCTCCAGATGAAAATGGTATACAGGGTGAATTCACAACTGCCAGCCAATCTCTTGGTATGTAATTGTAAAAATTAGGAGATTTCACAGCTCCTTCTTGCTTTGCAATTGCATAAATGCTGTACTTTGAACCTTGAGTAGCATGCGGCTCGAGTGCTCACAACATGACTAATCTACCATTGCATGTAAAATGTTTTTAACAACTGTTGACAGGTCTGTCATGACGTAAAGCTGGGGATAAAACACTGTTTTCCCAAAACAGATAAATTCCCACGTGACCTTTTTTGATCCTGAATCATTTTGATCCTGAATCATCCTGAATCCTTGAGACTGGAAAAGTTAAGGAAGGAAGAGCACTGATGATGGATGTTCATAATGTGTGGTGCTTGGGGAGGTGAACTCAGATTGTGCAAGCCACCTTAATTCTAATGGCTTCTAGCATTTAAGGTTCATTTCAGTATCTGAGTATCTTGAGTTCATTTCACCTGCTTTAGGATGCTGGTGGAAGATATATGAAAAGACTGAGGATTTTTTTTTTTTAATCTCTTGTATGACCGCTCTGTCACACTTCTCCATGCAGTAGTAGCCATCTCTTCTGTAGAGGAAGTTACCAGTAGTTGCAGTGATCTGGAACAGAATATGCACAGAAGTGAGTGAAGGAGATGATGACATAGTTTTAAAGAGAAGTGAAAGAAAAGACTCCTGTATTATTTGTGCTCACTGCAAGGTTTGGATCCCCTTGAGTCATAGACATTAAAACATCTGGTAGTGCAAGAACTTCTGCTTCATGCACTGAGAATTCCTACTGACATAATTGGCTTTAAGCTTTATAAGTAACTGCACAGTTTCATAGTAAAAAAGTCTGAAAAGTTATATGGTTTAATCTGCATACTGCAGGACACTATGATTTAACTCCAATATCTTAAGGCTGTAAACCATGTCTGTTTTCTAGCCTAAACTTATTCATGGATAAAATATACTGAGCTTGTTTTTTCATGACAGCATTGTCTGTTTTCCAGGTATTTTTCCTTTTAATTTATTCTAGTCTGAATTGATTTTGCAACCTAGATGTGATGGGACTGTTTATAGTTTAGCTAATATTGACTGTAATTACTTTTTTTTATGATTGTGTTTTATTGGTGGCTGCGGGTCATTTTGTCTCTCAAACACTTACACTGTTGCTTATCCATTGCAGGTGCTCTTGGGCTAATGCAAATTTTCTTATTGGTCACAGTCTCATTTTGCAGACATGCAAGAATGAGACTGTTTGAGACTGACACTCAACATATATTTAGACATCCATATGTAAATATACTAGGTGCATAAATTCCCATCCTCCCAGATAGGTGATGGAGATGTGGCACTTGGCTATCCTGCCTGTCCTTCAGTTCTTTCCCTGGAAGGTCCCGAATCCTAACTCTTAACTGCCAAACCTGTGCATATATGCTGGATATTTTAGAATATTTTAAAAGTGCCTTTTTTTCAAAAGTAGAGTGAAGACTAGAGAGCTCCTCTGCTCACCCTAAAGTAGTCACGTAGTAGCTACTCATTGAGTAGCAGTCTCCTCTGCCTATGGTTTCCCCTTAATATTGTAAGACCCTGGACATCTCCTACACATCAATATTTTGATCTCAGGCCTCATCCTGGTGAATCACTTTGATATCAGTAACAGATGATACCTAAATAACACTGAAGCGATCAACCAAAGTACTTTTTTATTATTCTTATTACTTAACTAATCAGATTTTTACTCCTTAGTGCTAAAAAGCCATTCAGTTCTTGGATGATACTGTGATACTTCTAAGTACCAATTTTTGTCTTCTAGGACTGTATCATCTATAAGCTGCATTATTGTATGGCCTACTTTTTTGCTGAGGTCTTTTTAAAAATACTGAGCAGGATTAATTCCGAAGTTTGTCCCTGTGGAACTCCACTGATAACCTCTCCAAACTATTCCTTCAATTTTGAATGCAGTGCTGCCTCTCTAACTACTTCATTGTCCCATTTACTGTTCTTGTTGACATCTTGGTTTTCTTTAATATCTAATAGTTCCTCCTCCTCTGTTTTTCTCATGGCTTAGATATTTTCCTTTTCCAGGAAAAGTTTTCTTATATGAGTTAGCAGTACCAGACTGTACTGCTGTAAAGTCCTTATGGAACTGCAGTGGTAACTTCATGATGTGTGTGGTTTTTTTTTTTTTTTTTTTTTTTTACATTTATAACATACACACACACATATATATGTATACTTTTATTTTTATTTTAAGTTTTTCTCAGAGTAAAGAACAATTTGTGCTGTGTTACTTAGAAGCTTTTCACTTTAGGCTTATATACATGAATCAAATAATGCTTGTCGGCTGTATCACAGTTATTGTGAACAACCCTTAGCAAACTTGAGGTATTCAAAATTAGTTTGGTCTTCAGTGATGGTGTAATATTTGATATTTAAATGTACTACTGTCTACAATTGATACAGATGGCTTGCATAAAATCAGACTAAACTATAGTGAAGATTCAGCGGATGGCAGCAAACTAAATGAAGATGAGCTTATAGATTTCTCTGAAGACCAAGATAACCAGGTAAAAAAAATATATAAATGTTATTTGGAAGCTGTAAATGGAAGCTGTTATTTTATGTTCAGAACAGACAATTAAAAAACTGTATAGATGGCAAGTGTGCATTGCATAAAGCCAGTCTACCTTTAGCAGTGTAAGAGGCAAAGCACTTATTACTTACAAAAGTTTGTAATTTAGCTGGAAAAAAAAGAGGATTGTACATTCTTTCATTGAACTGTTTAGTAGGAAACTGCTGTGCTGATCTTGAATTTATTTTTGAATCTTTTGCATAGTGACAATATTCTACAAGGATTTTAGTTAAACTCTTTTTTTTTTTTTAAAAAAAAAACAACTTTCTCTCATTTCACCTCATTTCCCCACGTCTGCTTAAACAGAACCAAGAACAGGTAACTCTTCTTTCAGCTCCATTTCTTGGATATAAACAGACACATTAATAACTAGGTGCTACTTTCCTGTTTTGGTTTATTGATGTTTTTCTAAACAAATTTAGATCAGGAGATCTGATCAATATGTACAAATACCTGAGGGGTGAATGTAGGGAGGATGGGGCCAAACTCTTCTTGGTGGTGGCCAGCGACAGGACAAGGGTTAAGGGCTGTAAGTGGAAACACAGGAAGCTCCATCTCCATGTGAGGAAGAACTTCTTTCCTGTGAGGGTGACAGAGCCCTGGCACAGGCTGCCCAGAGAGGTTGTGGAGTCTCCTTCTCTGGAGATCTTCCAAACCTGCCTGGATGCCACCCTGTGCCACGTGCTCTAGGTGTCCCTGCTGGAGCAGGGGGGTTGGACTAGGTGATTTCTAGAGGTCCCTTCCAACCTCAACCATTCTGGGATTCTGTGAAATTTATGAACAAGGACTCCTAATCAAGTAGTGTTCCTATTCAAGCTGCCGATTGAAGGAAGTTTGGAAGTTGTTGTTGTTGTTGTAGAGGGTCTCTGATCATTAAAGTGTCCTTTACTGACTCTCTCCTTGGGTACGAGGGCATTATTCCCTCGTTCTGTAATGCTAGATCAATGTGAAGAAGTTAGAAGTTCAACAGTTACTCTTCTTAAGGGGCCTTCCTGTTCCTGTTACAGGTGTATGACTCCAAGTTGTCTGAAATAAGGAATCAGAGGCTATCAGATATGCAGTCTAGGAATTACCTATTTTTCACCTTTAAGTCCAGAGCAAACAGTTATTTTCCAAAGCCTGCAGCTATTTACAGTGGTTTCCAAACTGTATGTATGTCCCTGTACACACACGAAACCTTCAGCTTATGTTGAGACTTGTGTTTTCAAACAGACTAAACCCACCTTTCCTGTCATGTTACATGACAACATTCTTTGATTCTTCCCTATTTCTTAATAGTTGCTAGAGTTCGCTGGAGTTGGAGAGGGTGAGTGGGGTGTTTCCAAGCTGCAGCATGTGGCATGAAGGCAGTGAAGAAAGCACATGGTCAGCATGTGTTCCTTGAGAGGAGGAGAAGATGCTGATTTCCCGGGCTGCACTGTAGCTTGGAATTTGGCTCCATTTGAAGCTGTTGTGATATTTTCTATCATGAACAAATTGAGTACAGAAATGGTAGACTGTGGCAGACAGTACACTTTCACATCTGCCGCAAATTGAGTTCAGACTGCAATAGAAATGGGAGTACTAGGAACAAAACAGTGTTTTTAATACAATAAAATACTGATGGCATAACATGAGGATTTCAGTCAAGGCCCCAGCATTTTAATGAGGTGTACATAATTATCACTAAAAAATTTCCAGACAATGTTGATGGGGAATGTTGATGGGGATTACTCTTTCTAGATAGCATCTCTTTCCTTGCCATGCAATGGTTTGTGCTATGTGTAGTGAACTCAGTGGTACTCTTTAAAGGTAAGGAATTGTGTGGATCATCGGAGTGCTTTTAAATGCAAGAACTTTGTGCTTATGGAACTTCCGTATCCTTCACAGCAATAAATATTGAAACAAAAAGGTTAAAAGATATTGCGGGTCTCGCGGCGCGTTGGTTTGTGTAGCATCACACCAGGTTGCCTTTGGATTTCGCTTGATCAAAGAACCAAGTTGGGACAAGTTGCTCATTGCGCATTTGTCTCTCCATTTAAAATCTCAATTAAAACCTATATTGGAGACGCACCCATTTGGGACAGCAGTGCTTTGAACAAGTTGTGTTGGTTTTAGGGTTTTTTTTAGTATTTTTATTTTTCTCCTCCTCCTATTTTAAATGGTAAACAGCGTGTTTCATTTTGTGTCATGAATGTCATGGATTTCAGAAACACAAGACTGAAGTTGGTAATGCAAATTTTATAAACAGCACATGGATTTAGGTGAAAGCTATCACTGCTTTATTAAATTTGATGTTATTTGTCTTGAGTGATTTCTTTTTTTTTCTTTTACATTTATTTGAGAAAAAAAGAAAACTTCTAAATACATGTAAATGTGTTGCCTTTGTAGGAAGACAGCAGTGACGATGGTGGGCTTGCAGACGACAACTGTAATTCAGAAATGGGACAGT